GATCTAATATCATTTGTAACAGCTCAAACCCATCGCTAGCAGATATTGTCCGCTTTAACCCATTACGTATCGCCGTCAGTCTCACAGTTTTAAAACGCGTTTGCTAGGAAGAGGTCTCTACACTCTACTTCGTTCCCCTCTCACATATATCATCACGCAAGAGATCAAAAACTCGAATCTCAACTCACCATGTCAAAAAAAATTAAGTAAAACACGAGAGATAGCACATGACATTATTTAGTAGAGCTAGCACAAAACAAACTCTACTCTCTCAATCATTATATATGAAAATCTCATAAACTCGAACCATATTGTACAAAATTTATGAGTGCCCACCTAAACATAACTCAACTAGTTACGACACATATCTTCGACCTAGAGACTGAAAATTCAAATCATCCCCCGCTCTCCAATTTTTTTTTTAAAAAGCTTAAAGTAAAACGAGAGGGTGCATGACATAATTGAATCATGTCTCTTAATTGTGGCCAAGTATATGGATCCTCAATCATGTTAATGTGACTTAAGTATTGAGAAACATGATCATCTCCCTCATTTTTTAATTACCCAAATGGGATCTCTCTTAGATCCAAATAAAGATTCATCATAGTGTTAGATTTCATCAACTTTGCTTTAGATCTTACACTTCATCAAACTTTGTGTTGTAAAAACACAACATTACCCACAAACACAAACTAATTATGCATTAATGCTTAATTCATTTATCATTTCAATTAAACCTTCCTCTAATTAATCATCATAATGTCAAGCATTCCTCGATTTCACAAACAAAAATGGCAATGGTGGAAGCCCACTACCGCTAGCAGATATTGTTCTTTTTGGGGTTTCCCGCGTCTATTAGTAAAAAGTTTTCACATCCTTATAAAGGGTGTTTCGTTCTTCTCCCAACCAGTGTGGGGATATCACAATCCACCCCGTTCAGGGAAAGGTTTCCACACCCTTATAAATGGTGTTTTGTTTTTCTCTCCAACTAGTGTGAGATATCACAATCCATCCCCGGAAGAGGTTTCCACACCCACATAAAGGGTGTTTCGTTCTCCTCCCCAACCAATATGGGATATTACAATCTACCTTCTTTCAGGGTCCAGTGTTCTCGCCGGCACTCGTTCTTTTCTCTAATCGATGCGAGACTCCCACCAAAACCACTTCTCTTCTGGGGATGCTCCCACCAAATCCACCCCTTTTCGGGGTCCAGCATCCTTATTGGCACACCGTCTCGTATCTATCCCCCTTCCGGGAATAGCCTCCTCGCTGAAACACCACCCAGTGTCTAGCTCTGATACCATTTGTAATGGCCCAAGCCCACCACTAGCCGATATTGTCCTCTTTGAGCTTTCTCTTTCCAACTTCCCCTCAAAGCTTTAAAACACACCCTTATAAATAGTGTTTCGTTCTTCTCCTCCACCAACGTGGATATCACAAAATTAATTTTTTTTAAAAAAACAGATTAATTTGAAGAAACTAATCATCATTGGGTATCAAAGTAGAGAGATTTAGCATTATATAAACTTTATGACATTTAGTTTCTAATTTTGTGCATTAAAGATAAGAAATTTTAATCATTTATGTTTTAGGTTTTGAGTTTAAACCCTAAAGAAATAATCACTCCCAAAATTATTAATTATTTGAAACATACTCAAATAATGCCACTTCCAACAACAATCAATAGTTCCATTCTTGGGTCTTTGCATGCTTACTAATTTAATTTAATTTAATTTAATTTAATTAATATCTTAATTACCACCACTCCCACTCTTTTTAGATCATCATACCATGGTCTTTAGGTCGAAGCATGCGCCTTCATGCGCACGGGAAAGAACTCGTGATCTTCTATAGAGTTGACTAATCCTTTATTATTATTATTATCGAAAACAATACGAAATCGCTCCGTATTTAATCTCGTGATCTTGTGTATAGTTGACTTATTAAATATGATTATTATATTATCTTAAATTTTATTGATTATAATGTCTTAATTCCATGATTTGGCTAGAATTTGAAGTCATTGATACAAGTGTAATTTGAATTTATAATTAAATTTTGTATGGATTTTTCTTTTTATATATAATTGTTATTATTATCACTATTATTATTAGTATTACTATTATGGGACAAGGAAATAGCTAGAATATTGTAACTGTAGTAGTTATTATCTCTTATATATTTTTAATAATAATAATAATAATAATATCTTTATTTTTAATAGTATTTTGTATTATTTCTTTATTTTTTAATTATTATTATTATTTCTTCAATTTTTGTAATTATTACTATTTCTATGTTTTTTAAATAAATAATAACCATTTCTTTATTTTTTTAATATTTTTAATTATCTCGCTAATTTTTTATTAATAATAAAAATTATTTCTTTATTTCTTAGTATTAATAATAATAATTTCTTTTTTTTTCTTCTAATAATCCTATAATCTCTCTATATATTTTAATAATTATTATTGTTTCTCTATTTTTTAATTGTAACTGTAGTAATTATTATCTCTTATATATTTTTAATAATAATAATAACAATCTCTTTATTTTTAATAATATTTTGTATTATTTCTTTATTTTTTAATTATTATTATTATTTCTTCATTTTTTTGTAATTATTACTATTTCTTTATTTTTTAAATAATAATAATTTTTTTTAATATTTGTTATTATCTCGTTAATTTTTTATAATAATAAAAATAATTTCTTTATTTCTTAGTAATAATAATAATAATTTCTTTATTTTTTTTCTAATAATCCTATAATCTCTCTATATTTTTTAATAATTATTATTATTTCTCTATTTTTTAATAATAATTATTATTATTTCTTATGCGTACGTGTGTGTTTTTAGAGAGAGAGAAAAATATTAGTGGGTAGCTTTTATTGGGATAATAATTGTGGTTGTGATCATAAACACCTTTTTTTAATCTTTCTTTAACAGAGATGTGATTTGATTAACCTAAAAAATATTGATTAGTATCAAACAAACAGCTTAATCCAAGTAATTAAACATGAAATGAAGAGATTAAATATATATATATATATATATATATTATTTTATTATTTTAAAAAAGTGAATTTGTGCGTGCAAAGGCAAAAGGGGATTAAATAAATAAATAAATAAATAAAGTCATCTTTTTGTTTTTGTTTCTCACCCATCAAAAAATTCCTTCTTTTTTTTTTTTTATTAAAAAAAAATTAAAATTTTTGACTATCAAATTGGATGATAAAGGTGAAGAAAGAAGCTATGGGTATGGACTACACACCACCAAAAAGTTGCTTTTCTTTTGTTTACATATTCCTCCTTCCTTCCCAAAGTCCAAATTAGTTGGCTATCTCTAATTCATTACCTTTTCTTTTCGATTTAGATTACAACCCGAAAAGGTTCGACCTCGAGGAAAGAAAAGGTGTAGGTCGAAAAGAATCATAGAAATACACTTATTACGGGCGAAAGGTTTTTAAAACTTACACTATGAAGTTTGAATTTAGTTTCTATTTAGTTCTTGAGCCTCTGATGTTTGAATTTGACATCTATTTGGTCTTTGAAATTTAAAACTCGAGTAAAACTTCATACACAAAACATGTCAGTTTTGAAACTTCAAGACGTAACTTTGAAAGACCAAACGTGACGTTTTGAGAACACGTAGGGACTTCAAATTCTAATGAAATAAAAGTGGGTTTTACTGATAACGACAAAACATTGTTACAAAAAGAGGTAGGGACCCAAAAATGAATTGCAATCATAATGAGAAATTGATGAGGGTGGGAAGATAAGTGCAACCTCCAATTGTTCACCACTATGCAAAGTTAGATTAGACAAATCTCAAAGGGGTTAGAATATCATGTCAAATATGCTTAAAATTTAACTTTATTAATCCTTCAACTTATATAAAGTTCATCATGCCCCCAATGGAATTACTTTTCCCTCGTCTTTTCCTTTAATTTCTTTTTTCCGTCCCCATTCTACGTACTATTACAACCACCATTAACATCATCAACCGTCTAAATTTTAAAAGAATTTTATTCTCGATGGTTTAAATTTTGATTTTGACTACAACTTCACTTTGTTGTATTATTTTAAACCAAAGAGTTGAAATCTCGAGAAACTTACTACCGGAAAATTTTAGTACCACTCAATTAGTACTCTCAAGTAAATAAAAATTTTAGCCATAAAAAAATCCATGAAAACCATTTTAGAGAGTTCAAATTCGATTAGATACTATATTCATTGTCACTATGTATAGAATAAATCAATTATGATAGTCATTAATAGAGGAATAAAGATGGCTATCTGCATTAATAGTTACTAGTTAACTTCGAACAATACTTTGCTAATATATTTGTTATCTCGTTCGAGATATCGGTTCAAATCTCCGACTTCATATTTGAGCAATAATCTTCAAAATAGTAATAACAAATCATTGATTTATTAAAAAGTAACGAAGTAGTTTTCAACCGAGTTGCAAAGATGTATCGATGGAGATAAAGTTAGCTCTCACCATCCTCCTATCCCTATCTGCCTGGAGCTAAGGTTAACTTTTACTATCCTTTGATTCCTATTGAACTATAGCTAATGTTGTTTTCATTCTTCTCCATGAAAGCTCAGTTCCAGAAAAAAATGTATGCATAGCTAATATTAGCTTTCGCCATCCTTTGATTCCAATAAATCTACAGCAAAAGTTAGTTTTCACCGTCCTTTGATTCGTACTATTTGATTCCTAAGAGTCAATATAACTAACTCATCATCCACACATCAACATGGAACAAAAGAAATAGAATTCCAAGAAATAGAATTCACTGCAGGTCTAAGAACAAAAGAAATGAAATAGGATATGTAATATGAAAAACAGTGACCAATAGAATTCCAAGAGTACTAAGTGATGAGCTCCTAATTTGCTAATCATGAATTTCTCCAAATTTTTGGGGAATAAGAAATTTAGAAGGGTCAAATGGAAAAGCAGACAAAAGCCCTTCGTCACGAATCGTTCTTCAACCTTCAACTTTAAAGAAAGTAATAGATATTTTATTCACTAAGCTATGCACGATAATCAATTCTATGAAGTAACAAAATTACTTTCGCACACTATATGCACAAGTTGTATATTTAAGTGTGTGAATATCCAGTTTAGAAGTTTAAGCTAAGGAGTTTGTGCATGAGAGTTATGTCAAAACCCATGGGTTTGTCCGGGTTGACAAACCAACAGAGAAAACATTGGAATATTTGCATCTTTTGCCAAACCTCGAACTCAAACCTTCACCCAAACACTTTGATATGAAATAAGGGTGTTTCAGTCTTGAAAGGGATGATTTAGATTTAAGAATGTTTTATTGTATTTTTTAAATTTTAGAAAATTGTTTTTAATTATAAATTACAATTAGTTAGGGGTAATTGTGGTATTGATAGCCATCAAAGTTACAACCTTACAATTAACCATGGGTTATTATGAGGTTTATTTTCAAGGCTATAAATAGTCATTCATTTTATTAATTTAAGATCATATTTTGGAATGGAGAGGAATAGAGTTTCTATTTTAGCTTTGTTGAGCTCAGTTTTTACCTTGCAAATTCTTATGTTTAGAACTTATATGTTAGAGACATTCAAGTATTATTGATCAAACCTTTTGTGGAGTGATTCAAATCACAAGTTTAGAAAAACGAGTTTTCTTTGCTCTTGATCTTGATCATCAAGGTAATTCGTTCCAAAACTTTCACTTGAATTAATTTCATATCATACTCATGTGAAGCCTAGCTAATTAGAAATAAGGATTTCAAAAAGTTTAGGTTGTTCTTCACGAACTAGTAAGAGGCTGCTGATGATATAATAAAGTAAATCTAATGGAGTCCTATATGTGGAGCATAAAACAGGCAATTTCATAATTAAAATCTTCAATACCTGAAGCGAACACATCTAAACTCCCTTTTGTGCCCTGATATGGATGTAGTGTAACCGTCCAAGCTCACCGCTAGTCGATATTGTCCTCTTTGAACTTTTCCTTCCGAGTTACCCTTCAAGATTTTTAAACGCTTCTGCTAGGGGTCGCCCATGTTCAATGGATATTACTATCTTCAGGAACCAGGGGGAGTTGAAGATCTAACATTAAACTCCTGCTTGAAGCATAACAGAAGGGAACAATTTTTTAAATTCTGATAGAATGGAAGCACCAGAGAGTACATGATAAGAGTGTAAAATCACAACCATCTCATTCAAATATATACCTCCAAATCACAGGTAATAGATTTAAACTCATCTTTAGCTTCAGATCTTGGAAGGTTGGAAGGTGAACTGCTTATCCACCATCTTTGAGCTTGCTATCTATTATTGAACGACTTACAGCTGATAGAATGGAAAAACAAGCTTGTACATACATAATTCAGATTCAAAAGGGAATGATTGAATTTAAAAGCCCAGAAATTGAAATAAGAATAACATGAGGCAATGTCTCAGCTAGATTACTGTTATTCATAGCGCTACCGCACGAGTATTCTAGTTTTCTCAAGGGGCAGCTAGCGACAGAAATCACCAAATGTATTTACAGGACTAACTTGCCAGTAGAATTCTAAGTGGAAGCTTTTTAAAGGAATTCCACTCCAAGAGATAGGTCCCATTGAGGGACGCACTTAGTGGCAAACAAAATGTCAATTCACAATCCCAAAATTTCCTATTTCTAGTTGCTAATTTCTGTAGATTCACTACCAGAACAAGAACACAAGCATATGAGATCCACATTCAGAAAAATCGGAGTATTCACCAACAGCTCAATGCCAACAATACCTGAAATTAGTCGTCTGAAATCATTTACGTCCTAAGGAAACAAATCACAAGTACACAGGCTCCATAGGCTCGCGTTCTTCATAGCCGGAAAATAGATGAAACTTCTCTGATTCAAAATCAATTTCAAAGTAAAATAAGCCTACATTGATAATCGGAAACACTAAGAAATTATCCAGAGTTCATTTCCATCATCCAATTCACTCAAAATTGGAATTAGAACACCAATCAAGCTGTCTCGTGACAAAAAAGTGAAGGAAACTAAAATCAATAAACGAAAACGTCACAACTCCGCATTTCCTCTGATTCATTTTCATGCGTTCCTATAAGGTTTCAATAAGTAAATTCCAGAAGAACAAGGAGGACGTATTTTCTTTGAAATCAACTAGGTATAAACCAGCGCGATCATCATTTACCTGAGCGATAAGTTCCTCAACGGCTTGCTTTAGCTCCCGTCTCCCTCATGTTGGTGCAGAGATCCACCATTGCTCAGAGAAGAGAAGCTTGCTACGGCCGTTAACATGTAACATCTTCGAGATCCCAGCGGCTCACGACGAATAATCAGAACTAATGAAGACCAAGGCTTAGATTATCATATTATTTCTTTTAGCCTAAATTACAATTAAAAATAATAAAAGTAATAAATTTAGTATTTATTTCAAAAATATTATTATTCTTCCATTTTAAAAATTAGTATTTTTATTAAAAAAAAAAAAACAAATGATAAATTACTTTAAATTTTTTTAATAACTGCAATAAATTTCTTTTATTATTACGTAGAGTATTAAAAAAAAAACTATTTTGTTAAACTTCTATTCTAAAAATCATCTAATTTAATTTTCATATGTTCATAATATATTTTAATTTTTCAAATGAATCGTATTTTGTATTTAATAGAATTTCAAATATTAAATTGTCTAACAAAAATCTTTAAAAAAAGACTTACAATGAAAACTCTCAATCCGTTTCAAATTAATAAATTAATTAATTAATATTTTTCGCTAAAAAATAATAATAAATAAATAAATATGTAGATTAATAGTTTATAATAAGAACTCGAACTCAATAATTTACTATCCAAGATGATGAATTTGGCTCCTTCGACTAATTAAAATATTTTCTTACAAAAGAAAAATCCAGAAAAAATATTGTTTTATCATTGAAAACCTTACAATAATTATATAGATAATATACTAATAATTAATAACGAAAAAGTTTTGGAATAAAACAGAGCTTTGGGCCTCTAATCCAATCCAAGCCCAACAAAAACTCAACCAGGACCCACTATTTTGGGCCTGAAAATGGGCCTGGAATCAGAGAGCTTAATGGGCCAGTGAAAGTCCATAGAAAGAGAAGTCTTTGGACAAATCCCACTCAAATGTACAGTAGAGTAGAGTATTACAACCATTAGTTTCTTTCTGAAGTGAACAACATGGAATATTGGAGCAGTATAAATTCTGTTATCTCTACTGTTCCCCTAAAGGCTAAAACCACCAACCTAACCAATGTGATAATCTTTCAACATCCTTTGATTCCGAAGCATAAGCCACATAGAGAAGTCTGGATTTGTAAGAGAAAGAAAGGGCAGAGAGGTATGTAAAAAACGACCCGCAATCTGCAACTAAAAAACGAGATGCAATTCCATTCACGTACCATCGTCACAAATACTGTTCTTGTATCCTCGTTCGGTTCTCTTCCCACCATAATCTCGCGTGCATTTCTCCGAACTTTTCTCGACTGCGTCAAAACGAACCATACTAAAGATCAGTGTTTTTTTGCAGTAAATCAAACGCATGATGAAAGTTTCCAGTTTATAGACTGAAACGAGCACTTTTTTCGACGTGAAACACTTTTATGAGTTTGGCAACATCTAAGAGTGGAGGTTCAAACCTATTGGGCTAGGTTCAGGTTGATATTTCTAACTTAAACATGAAACTACAAGCTTGATAGAACCTCAATTTTTCGTGACTAACTTATCAGCCAATTCATCATATTAGACTTATTTAGTAATTCTCTGGGGACATGTGAGATCTCACGTCGGTTGGAGAGGAAAACGAAACACCCTTTATAAGGGTGTGAAAACCTTTCCCTAACAGACGCGTTTTATAAACTTTGAGGGGAAGCTCGAAAGGGAAAGCCCAAAGAGAACAATATCTGCTAGCGGTGAGCCTGGGCCATTACAAATGATATTAGAGTCAAACACCGGGCGATGTACTAGCGAGGAGGCTGTTCTCCGAAGGGCCAGACACGAGGCGGTGTGTAAGTAAGAACGTTGATCCCCGAAGGGGGTGGATTTGGTGGAGGTCCCACATCGACCGGAGAAAGGAACGACAGCGAGGACGCTGGTCGCTGAAAGGGGGTGGATTGTGAGATCCCACATTAGTGGGGAGGAGAACGAAACACCCTTTATAAGGGTGTGAAAACCTCTACCTAGCAGACGTGTTTTAAAAACCTTGAAGGGAAGTCCGAAAGGGAAAACCCAAAAAGGACAATATCGGCTAGCAGTGGACCTGGGCCGTTACAGGATATAATATATAGTTATATATAGTGACTAATTTCTATAATGGTTTTTGAGTCCCACATGGGAAGGTAACAATCAGAAATTGTGAGACTTATCAAAGATGTATGTTATACTCATTATGAAAGATTAATACCTGAATCGAATGCGTCTTAGCTCCCTCGAGCCACCTGGCAGAGCCCGAATAGTGATATAGACTCCTGGTTCATCCTCTTCAATCCATTCAGTCTCCAAATCACTAGCATTACTTACAGAAAGCTCTTCTTCTGACTGATCTCCCTCACTGGTCCTCAAAGAACCATCTACAGATGATGTCTCAATCTTTGCGTCATTTTCGCTAGAGGGTTTAACTGATGGAGCTAAACCACCTAAATCATAGCAATGTGGGGGTCGGTTAGGGTGGTGATCAAGAGATTCTGATGACGAGTTTCCCAATGGTCGATCGGAATTTCGAGGAGGCCATTCATTCGTCAAAGGTGGAGTAGCAGGGCTGTCCTTGGTAGATTGAGTATTCGAGGCCTGGAATTGAATAGAACTCATGTTAATAATGTAACAAAGTCTATAACCATTAAAAACCTGCTGAAACGATATGACAGTATATCCCAACTAGTATGATGCTCGAAACTCACATCATCTTCCGATAATGGAGGGGAAGGTGGACGAGGAACAGCTTGGCTATTGAAACGCTGGACATTATACAATTCCACAACCTTCTCATAGTTTTCCGCCCACCATCTTTGAGCTTGCCATTTGTTGAACAGTTCCCTGCTGATCAACAAAAGAAAACAAGGGTTAGCAACCAATCATAAACAATTATAGGAAATATATGATCATTATACGCTTGCAAAGAAGAGAAGGGAATGAAGTAGAGAGTTCAAATGGCAGCTAAATCACAAGATTCCACCTCCTAAGTTTCAGACAGTAGAAATGTAACAAGCTGACGAACAAGTGAAGAAGCACTTCCAGACAAATAGGTTTCTTCAGTAACAGATGAATTCCAAATGATTTACCTAAAACGAATCCGTTTGAGATCGTTTCCTCCCTGTGGAAATGAAACGAAAGTGATAAGCACACCAGGCTCAACTTGTGCTACCCATTCCTTTGGTTCGTCTTCTTCCAAGAAAACAATCTCAGTTCGTCCACTTACAGAAGCTGGACTCACTTCCCCACTTGACAGAGCTTTCAATCGGGACTCCATTTCCTTTCCCCATTGCCTTGGCATGGAGTTTGCACTCCCAGTCCGCCTGTAGGAACAATGAAACCTCGCCGAATCTGATGCAGAATCAGCTTCTGCATATTTATACTTGTCGTTGTTGCTCGATGAGCCTGAACATGGCTTGCAATTCTTGTAAGCACCCGAGGCCTTCAGTGCGATGTCCTTGATCTGAAAGTAGCAGAAAAAATTCAGTCATAAACATCAATTTCACAGTAAAACGAGATTTCAAGGAAGTAAAAAACAACACAGGAAACGTCAATTTCACATCAATTCATTGTCGAGCTTCTTTCCCGATGTTGAAAATCGAACAATTACCTAGCTATCTCTCTTTATGATTCCCGAGAAAGTTAAAGAAATCGAAACGAGAGTGAATAAATATGTTCGAAATGTTCGATCAACAACGATTCCAGCAGAGAAAATTCTCCTCCAAATTGCACAAAGTAACCAGCAACAAAAACCATTTCCTTGAAATTTCTGAGAACAGAGATAGAATCTCATTACGTTGACTGTTTACCTGAGCAGTTAGAGCCTTGATTGTTTGTTTAGTCCTCGGTGTAGCAACGGAATCTTCTCCCTCTTGCTGGTGCAGAGATCCATTGTTGAGCTGCTTCGAGCAGGCTATACACGTCAACATCTCCGGTACAGAAAACACCAATCCACCGGACTTTCACAGCGAAAGACTAGGGTCAAACAAGTACAAGAAGCTCAATCACTGCGGAATCACGAGATCTTGTCTCTTAACAGCTATAACAAGATCAAAAAGAGAAGGAAAAAAAAAATACTCCCATCGAAAGGCCTGAGGAATACAGAATAATAAAGCAAACACGAAATAAAGCAGTGGAACAAACAAACAAACGAACGAACAAACAAACAGAAAAGAAAGCAAGTGGAATGGAATGAAGAGAACTATTCAGCAGCAGCTTACGGATTATAGAGGACACGAAAGAGGCAAAAGATTGGCATGGAAAACGATCACGTCGAGCAGTCGCTTTCCATAACTTTCAATCAAGTCCCGTAGAAAGAGAAAGAAACGGATCACAGAGAAGAAGAAGAAAAAAGTGGATTGGATTGGAAATAATGGAATCGAATAGAATCGTTGGGATTAGAGAAAGAGGGTTTCGTAGCTACAAAAGCTTTAAATGCACACACAAACTCATCAGATTCTTCCTTCCTTCAATCGCATTCATTCGCACCTTTAACCTTTCTTCTGCTTTTTTGCTTTTTCGCTTGCGATGATCAGCGTGAAAGCCAGCTACGAGGAGTGAAAACCACTCAAATGCTTTCTTCTTCTTCCTCTTCTTCTTCTTCTTCTTCTGGTTGTTCTTCGTTCTTCTCTCTCTCTCTCTCTCTGGACCATTGAGATTTGGGCTGCAGCAGCGTACACGTACAGAGGCAGAGCTCAGCGCGGCGCGTCTCGGCGCAGACTCGGCCTATGTGGCTAGGTGTTCAATGCGCAGTACAGCCGAGGGCCGCCGCCGCCGCCGCCGCCGCTACAGAAAAGAGGGAAAGAGGAAATGCGTTTTTGTGTTGGGGAATTTGATATGATTCAGTCACGTGATTCGTTACCTACTCACGTGCGCTACAATCGACAAATATATTGTAATTATAAAAATAAAAAAATAAAAAAAATAAAAATTGTTCCGAAAACATTTAAATTCTGGCTCTTTTCTTCTTTTCTTTTTTTTTTTATTCTCAATTATTTTTGGAAATTTTGTTTTTTTATCCAATTTTTATTTATTTTATTATTGAAAATATTCTTAGCATCGACCCTTTGAAACTACATACATATACATTAGTGTAACATTCTCATCGAATATGATCTAACGTTCGATCTCAATTTGAGCTTAGAGAAAAAAATCGAGTTATAGTGTAGAGAAGGCTGAACAAGCTCGTCAGTCAAGACGTGTTTCGTTAAATCTAAATTAAACGAGCATAGATTGAGGGAAGTAGCTTAATAGTTGTTTATGGGTAAAATGAGACAAAACAATCTAATGTAGTCTCGTTGTAATTGTAGTCTCGGGTAGCAATAAATTAAGTTTCAAATTTTTTATTTTATTTTATTTATTTAGGAGAACTAATTAAATTTAAATGGAAGTAAAATTACTTTCTTATTTAAAATTGTAATATTAAGTACAATTTGATGAAAATAAAAATTAATACAATTTTTGAAAACTATATATATTTTTCACTTTTCTTTAATATGTTAATAAGTGTTAGCATTATATATTAAATATTTAAATATGTAATTAGGTAATTTAATTTGGATAAAATGCAAACAAAGTAAGGTTAATAATGAAGAAAGAGACAAGTAATGGGCTCGAGTCGAGGGAGGGGCTTCCGAAGCGGCTTAGGCTTGGTGACCGACTCGACTTAGGAGAAATAAAATGGCTCCATCCCAGCTTCGTGCTCACGCAAAACCAAATGGCATGGAGCCGAACCAATGTGCGCACCGTTTTTGTCGCTAGTTGTGCTTTTGACCCAAATCCAAAGTATTCTATATTCAATTTATATTTTAAAAAAAAAGGGTAAATTAATAAAATGCCTTTCAATTTTGTATTTCTTTTTCAAAAATACTTCTAAATTTTCAAATTTTCAATGATTCTTCCATTTTTAAAAAATGTCTCAAAATTAATTTTAAATTTTTAATAAAAGTATTTAAAAAATACATTTGAATTTTAAAAAAAATTATTAAAACATTAAAACATTTTGAAATTTTAAAAAAATTCAAAAATACATTTATCTAGTACATTTTAAAATACTTATAAACTTTAAAATATAAAATTAAAAAAAATTATAGATAATTTATGAGTTGCCTATTGACAATAAGACCTTTTTTTTATAAATGACACTCATGTTACTTTTAAAATTTTATAAATATTTTTTAAATAATTAAACTACGATTTAAAAAAAAATTGTAATTATAGTAAAATGTTAAATTAATTTTTTAAAATAAATAATAAAAAAAAACTAATATCTTTATGGGATTTTAATTATCTATGTAATATGTACGGTACATAACTATAATTTTTTAAAAATAATTATTAAAAAAAAAAAACAAAAGCACGTGAGCTGCGAGCGTGTCGATTTGGGTATCATTCCATTTGCCCTCGTCCACTACACAAATACGGCGTGTTTGGATGATGGCGGTAGTTGTCCCTATTCCAGACAAACAAAAACCTGTCAAACAAAACACACAGTGATATGATTTCATTTGTTTGCTCTAACCATAACAATGATACTCCTAGTACGACACTCTCATTCCAATGTTTCCTACTAACACTATCGTAGTACGGTTTAAAACATGTTTTTAATTCAGTTAAGATTCATATATTAGATTCGACACTTGATAGCTCCGACATTCTCCTACGATATAGTCATGTTTCTTATTCGTTGCTTCTAAAACCAACACGTCTTTTTAGCATTATGATTGAGCTACCGAAAAAGAATATGCACCTTATTGATACAAGTAGTAACTTTAAGTTATTTTAAGCATTTTTTAGTCCCTTATTTGAACATAGTCTCGATTCATTCATATACTCTTCTTTTACTCGAGTGTTACACACCTTCTGAGATCCTATATTGGTTGGAGAGTAAAACGAAGCACTTCTTATAAGAGTGTGAAAACCTATCCCTAATAGACACGTTTTAAAACCCTAAAGCTAACAACGATACATAACGAGTCAAATACAACAATATCTGTTAGCGGTAGATTTGAGCTGTTACACACCTAATAACTTATTTGACATTGTATGAAGCATTTCAAATACACGAGCAAAATATCATCCATTATAACAAAAATTTTCAATGATAGATAGAAGGAAGTGCTGATATCGTAAGTCATAAATTTACAAGGCGTGTGATGGTTTGTAAAGCTGAGGGGGATTGTCAAACTAAAGCTCGTGTTTGAATATCAAACGTAATAATGAGGATGGTTTTGTTTAGGGTGACAAGCGTGAATTATGTCTTTATAAAGTTAGGTCCGAATACAACTTTATAATAGAATATATTATAAACTTATGAAACTTTATATTATAAAATTTAAAATATTTGGCAAACAAAGTGAAGGGCTGGCCTGTTTGTGATTTCAAGACAATGGATTATTATTATTATTATTTTAGGTATAAAATTATTATTTTTTGTTTTTCTTTTCCGACTTCCCGTTTAAGGCTTTAAAAATTAGGTGTTTCATTCTTCTCTCCAACCAAGGTGGGATATCATAATCCACCCCCCTTCAGGACCCAATGTCCTTGCTGACACTTGTTCCTTTCTCCCATCGATGTGGGACCCTCACCAAATCCACCCCTTTCGAGAAACAACCTCCTCACTGGCACATCGCTCGATGTCTGACTCTGATACCATTTGTAACGCCCCATACCCACAACTAGCAGAAATTGTACTCTTTGGGTTTTCCCTTTTAGGCTTCCCCTAAACGCTTTAAAACACATCTTTTAAGGAAAGGTTTCCACATTTGTCTGTGTTGTCCATGGTTGCATGCCCGTTTCAAACCCCTTTTTCATGATTTCATTCTAGATACGTCATTACCATTCCATATTGGGTCAATATGAGGGTATATGACCGTTCACCAAAACCGTGTCTACGCTTGCAAGGGCTAAAATGCCTAAAAATGTACTATAAGAGGATATGACTAGTTGTCAACTTCTTCCTACCCAATAGTTATATGAAGTAAGTCGCTTGTTATTGCCTTTTTGTTTACATCCCTATATAACACCATTTCCAATTTCTCAAATCTTGCTTTCAAAACTTTCTTTCGAAATCTCTCTGCCCCCGTTCTCTAAAACTTTCTTCTTGAATCGAGGCCAGATGCTCGAGCATACATAGCTTGATCTAGGCGATGCAAGAGGTTTTTTCAAATGAAAATATTTTTGACACGCTTATTCGAGAGAACCTAAATTTCAATTATATTCATTATAATTTGAGGTTTTTTTTTTATATACTTAATGAGGATATAAAATAAGCTTTATTAAATCCATATTATGATTAAAAATTGTTTGAAAATGTTATTTTTAGCCTAAATTAAAATTAAAACTATAAAAGTCAATAAATTAAAATAAATCTAAATACACTACAACAAATTATAATCTTACAAAGTCGTTTTCTTAAATTTATGAACACCTAATTTATTTAATGAGCTTTTCATTTCCTTCTATAAATATTTAACTCTTAGCAAAATTAAAATTATATATAAAAATATATTAAAAAAACTAAATAAATAAACAAAATTAATTAATTAATCGACAAAATTTTTCCCACATGGAAAAAATGGTTAAAATAGTAAGTCGAGTTGGCAGGGTAATTAAATTAATATTTTTTTTGGTAAAAATTAATGCTTTGCTTTTAAGGTGACAGCCGCATCAATCACATGCATACAAATATATATATATATATATATATATATATATATATATATATATATATATATATATATGTATGTATGTATAAATTATTATTTATCATTTTTATTTATCACATTTTAATGAAAGTGACAAAAAGAAGCCAATTAATATAAAGGAGCCGTTGGGAGTTCAAAACTTCCCTATTTTGGGAATCCCTTGCCAATTAATAAAATATGATAAAATAAACAAATATCTTTAAAATTTATTGAAAAAAAATACTCGAAAAGAAATAATTTATTTAAAAAATACTTTTAAATTTTTAATATGGTCTCAAATATAGGTTAAAACTTTAAAAAAAAAAATCTTAATATTAATACTATATTTAAAAAATATTTATAAAATTTTAGGAGTAGCGTTATTATTATTTATATAAAAAAGTTTATAAAAATTATTACTATTAATATATAGACTTATAGATTATCTCCAAATTTTTAAATATTATTTTTTTTGAATTTTTAAATAAATAAATAAATAGCGTTACAAAAATGATCACCGAACTGAACCTTCTCTCGAAGCCCAAGTGAAACGGTGCGGCCCAAACGTCAATAATACAATGGCCGGCCCAATTTTCTCTCTTTATATATATTGAAATACTTTGGTTTAATTAACGTAATTTTAAATAAATAAATAAAATTCCTTAATTTTGGTTAAATAATTTTTTAAAATTAAAAATTTAATAGAAATTAACTTCAAACAAACAACCACCAATAATTAAATATTTATTAAAGCATAAAAATAAAAAATTAAATAGGGCACGTTTTATAAAAAAAAAAATAACAATAATAAAAATATATTATCAAATTAATTTAAATCATAGACTTATTTGAGAGTTGGTAAAAATGTTTTTATAGTAGGTTGAATAAGTTACAGACATTTTTAAATTTAATTTAATTATTGGGGTTGTAAATTTTTTATAATTTAAATAATTTTTAATTAATAATGAACTAAACTTAACTTACAAATTATTCTGATAATTTATTCAAAATTTTATTTTTAATATAAGTAAAATGTTAATTTATTAAATACGTGTTCATTTATTTAGAACATGCAACTCAATTTTAATACTTTATAAATAATTAAAAAAT